GTTGGAAGTAGCAATAAATGCAGGCATGCATTAATGTACGAAACGATGACGAAATGTGTTCCTTTTGGAGTTTTATTAGCGCCTTGTATCCTGTAGCAAAACATCCACAAAGAGTGTCAAAATATCCACACTATTCTACAGTTTTGAATACTCCAATGGATTTAAAACAAATTTCCAAATTTGAAAAACTTAATATCATTTCTGTAAATGTTTTCACTTTAGAATTGAATCAAGCAAAGGAAAAATCATTTTATGTAGTAGTACCTGCCAGACTCACGACAACAAAACGAGACAGACATGTTAATTTGTTATTAATTCAAGACAACTATTTTCCAAAATTGAATGATTATGAGGCTCCACCAATTAATGATGATGACGAGACTGAAATTGAATTCCATTATTGTTGGATCAAATACATGCCTAGAATATTTTCAAAACAAATGAGTAATCATAGAGGACAAAAGTTTTTGTGATAGATGTCTCATTTATTTTTCAAGTCAGCAAAAATTGAATGATCATACTGTTTTGTGCGAAAAAGTGAATGACTGTGAAATTCGACTGGAATTTCAAAATTATGTTTATAAACCAAAATGTCCGTTTATAATTTTTGCTGATTTTGAGTCACTGTTGGAAAAATGTAACGAAAGCATATCTAACAAAACTACAAAATACCAAAAACTATACCTTTAAGTACAGGCTACTACTTCAAGTGTTCCTATGAAGACAGTCTTTCTCATTTCAAAAGCTATCAAGGTTAATACTGTATGAAATAGTTTGCCGATGAGTTGTCTGATATTGCAAAATTTGTTGAATCAAAAATAAAGAATATTGAGCCGATGACAGTGCCTTTGAATAATATCGGTGCTGCAACGACTTGTCATATTTGCGAAAAATCGTTCGCCCCCAAAGATGTTATTGTGTACGATCATGATCACTATACGGAGGCGTTCCGCGGATTTGCACACCAAGCCTCCTGTAATGTCAACTTTCGAAAATTATTCGTGGTACCCATTACTTTTCATAATTCACTTCATAATAAGAGATATCGCAAAAAAGGCTGTGTGAGTATACTTCCCTCAAATAAAGAAAAATACATTTCCTTCACACAGAAGGATGCTGAAACAAATTAAATTTTGATTTATAGATTCTTTTCGATTCATGGGAACATCGATGGATGAATTAGTATCCACATTGGATCAAAATGATTTGGAAATTAAAAAAAAAAGAATGTATTTATTCAAATGATGAGAAATTTGCTCTTCTCACCAGGAAGGGGGTATTTCCATATGATTATGTAGATAGCATGGAAAAATTGAACGACACCGAGTTACCATCACGAGAAGAATTCTATAATAAATCAAATCATAAATACATAACAGAAGAGAAATATGCTCACACACAAAATGTTTGGGAATCATTCGAAATTACAAACTTGGGATCGTATGCGGTCCTATATTTGAAAACAGATATTTTATTACTGGCAGACGTTTTTGAAAATTTTCGTCAAAAAAGCATGGCAACTAATGGGTTGGAACCCGCATGGTATTATACTATGCCTGGGTACACGTGGGATGCCATGTTGAAGTATACAAAATGTAAATTACAAATTTCAAAAGACATTGACATGATTATGTTTGTAGAAAAGGGGGTAAGGGGCGGAATATCGGTTTGTTTAAATAGATATTCTGAAGCAAATAATAAATATATGGAAGCATACAATCCCGAAAAACCTTCAATATATCTTTTAAATTTAGACGGTAATAATTTATATGGGTGGGCAATGTCAGAATTTTTACCTTACAACGGTTTTCAGTGGGTGGAAAATTTTGACAAAGATGTAACTGAAATTCCTGACAATACTTCAGAAGGCTACATATTGGAAGTTGATTTGGAATACTCTGGGAGATTACATGATTCGCATCAAGATTTTCCTTTTTGTCCAGAGCATCAAGCACCACCAAATTCCAAACAAAAAAATTATTGGGTACCCTGTATAATAAAGACAAATATATCTTGCACTATCGCAACTTGAAACAAGCATTGAAAAACGGTTTGATTCTAACCAAAATTCATCGGGTTTTGAAATTCGAACAATCTGCATGGCTGCGTCCCTACATCGAGTTGAATACTCGTCTACGGGCTGCAGCCACTAGTTCTTTTGACAAAATCTATATAAACCAATGGCGAATGCTATCGATCAAGTTCAGCTGAAACTTGATCTTGTAGCGCTATCGGTACGTTTCTTGGACGAAATTTTCTTGGACTGACATCATTTTGTATGTATATTTTGGCTTGGTGGCCTTTTATGGTGCCTAAAGAGTCATCGAAAAGTTCTGGAAAATCACCCAGTACACTGTCAATCATACTTTTGTGTTGGTTGTCCTCCTTTATATGATATATTTTTGCCCCACGAGGTAGAGGTAATTTAAAAGCTAAACACCAGTCCAGGCCAAAAAGTGGTATGTCGTCATCGTTTGTTACATAAAGGGGCAATGTTAATTTATTGTCGAAAGCTTTCACTTCCACCATACATTTTCCCAAAGTGCTCATTGGCTTTTCGCTGTAGACAATCAAATCACCTACTTTTTTTAGTGATGGGCTGCCAATTTTATTCCAAATTAACCTGCCGACTAACGCATTCACAGAGCCAGGATCACAAAGCATGTCAATATTCTGGGTACTTATTTGTACTGGTAACATCACTTTACTAGCCGTTCCTACTTTTCTAATATTTAAAACGGTCGAGTTATAGTCTGTATCCTCGGATTCCGATTCACTATTATATTCTGAAGAACTATCGTTTTCATTGTCACTTTCATGTTCAACACAGCGGGTTGAACGTTTTGATTTCCCCTCGTATTTACGCGTTTTTGATTGTCTAATAATAATAATGAGTAAACTCGTCGCCAACATGTAGTATGATGGGCGGGTGTAACAAACACAGAATTATACTGTGAGTAAAACTGTATTCATAAACTGTTTACAACTAATTAACGAGTGATCTAATCCTTTTTGGACCAACGTGTCAGATTGACTGACTTTGTTCGCGGAAGAATGTCACTCGGCTGTTCGCCACAGTGTTGCCAGACTCAGTCAGTGATACCACAGGTCCACCATCGTTATTCATAATATTATTATGTTAACCTATTTCTACACTCTAATAGGCATCTAGATCTTGTCTAACTAATCTTAATGAACAAAAGTCTATGGAATGGTTTTGTTGTAAAATATGATGGGCGACTGCTGATTTTTCTGGTCTTCCATATTTAAGGTGTGCTGTGTTCCTTATATCTTATTTCAATATATCTTTTTGTCGGTCCATAATATTTTGCATCACAGTCCTTACATCTTATTTCGTTTCCGAAATCTCGACTTTGTCTTTTGGATTTCCTAAAAGGCTGGTATGGAACTGACATATATTAATCTTGGTTTTCGTCATTTTTAAAAGTCGAGGTTTTGTTCATTCTTAACCTAAACTTTTTCTTCCGCATTATATCGACTACAATATCTCCTGAGACACCCTTACTGGCTGCCATTTCCTGTATTGTATGTTTTTCTTTTGTGAACCTCTAATGTGTTAGGGGAAAATTCAAAAAACGATGCACTAGACCAGGGGTCTCCAAACTACGGCACGCGGGCCAAATCCGGCCCGCCAGTGTCATCAATCCGGCCCGCGACAGCCAATGATTTACTGTCATCAATCTGGCCCGCGACAGCCAATGATTATCTAATTGTTGTTACTATTACCTTCAACACAGCATTGTTAGAGAGATCGGAAGATTAAAGAGGACGGAAACTTATCGTGCAGTGAATAATATTCGAAAAAGGGCACAGTTGTGTTGTCATGAACAAGGTCAGCATTTCGAGCATTTGCTGTGATTGACTTCTGTCTTTACATTTTAGTTAATTATTGTTATTTATTCAAAATCCTATTTTCATTGAAAAGGACACAATGTCTAATTTACCTCATACACACCTCATTTATTAAATTTTCATTGTTGATTCTGTCTCCGTATTTTTTCATTGGCTATTCAAATGAGATTTTGATTCAATAACTTGAACATAGTTCGATGTGGTTGTCGTCTTTCGGGATACAAATTTAAATACATTTCCGATGTTTTAACACTGTTTCTCTCCTACCTGTAATATTTCTTTATTCTTCATTCATGAAAACCATTTTTCGCCAAAAATTCAATGACTTGTACAATAACAAAATATCATTGAGTGTAACAAATTGAAAGTCAAATTTAGAAACATCAAAGTCAAAGCCTATTTAGATAAGAATAATTTGTTTTCAATATCTCCAATTTTTCGTGAAAGAATGATAACTTATGATAAATCATTGAAAACTTTAAATCTGGTTCTATTCAAAACAGAAAGAATCCAATGTATCACCCATAAGAAAAAATAAAGTTGATGATGGTGGCCGGAAGAAGAAACGTCGAATAGCAAATCTGAAAATACCATTATGTAGCAGGGCAAAAATGACAATGTGAAAGTGAAATTTATTTCCATATCCTACGAAAATTGAAGCCAGAAAAAAATAAAAACCATTTTCCGAAATTTTTGTATTTTTTCGGATATCTCCGGATATACTCGGAATTCCAGAACTTTCTCAACGGCATATTATTAGTCAGATAAATGAGCAACTTTGCCCCAATTTCATCTTCGTATCTCTCATAGTTTCCGAGATCCCAATGGTAGGGATCGAATTTGAAACACCCTGTATATCATGCTAATTGTCTTAGGAGATAGTTCTATTGGTCAGTATTTGAACTGATAATGAATTGAAGTAAATTTCAAAAACATCAAAAAATCTCAGATAAATGTAGAAATGAGGAAATTTGGTGATGGAATGTTTCGAATACTATTGAGCCAAAGCATTTTTTAACGAAACCTATAAATATCTATGTTTATTGCTATGTAATAACGCTGGAAATACTCATATATCAGTTTCTGAGTTCGAATACGAAAAAATTAGAATTGACAACCCTGCCTTTTATTAAAGAGAAATGTCATTAATTGTATAAAAGTCTTGGCATCATCAGTAACGAACTTGAGGTACCAAAATGTGAAGTGCACAATTTCTCAACTACTGACCAGCAGTTCCTGATCATTATTAACAACATGGCAGTTTTCAAGTCAATTGGAGAATTATGTGACGTAGTTTCCGTTGTAGTTTTCTGCAACATTGACAGCACAATGATGCTTACTGTGGACAATTTTGAACATTGGATTCCATCTGTGAAAGTACTACCAGGTCAAATGTGGGAACGAACTATTGCCAAAGAAGTTAATGAAGTAAGTACATCAACGTATTTAGGTTCATATGAACTGTTGGAAATTAACATCTGTATTAAATTTTGAAAGCGACTAATAACGGAAAAACGAAAAATTTCTAATCAATCTCGTTGTTTTATGCCTTCAAACTCCTTTTCATAAAGTAATGGCATATTTTTTACTTCTTCATACATAAACATCTATTTGGTGACTGTTGGTGGTTCTGAATCCCATGGACCATAATACGTAATCTCAGGTTCGAAATCTATCATGGTGTTCCGTACTTATATATAATATTTTTTTTGAATGATGCAAAAAATTTTCCTTTATTTCCAGTATTTTGATATTAATGTATGTCACAAAAAGAATTGGAATCTTTATAACTTCTATTTATTATATGCCAGCTTTCGATAGCTGGCTGTGCTATCATCTTCTTGGCTCTACTCAAACTGAACGTTTTATCTTGTTTTTTATTTCATGCGGATAGAAAGCCTCGGTGCAGGTACTGCAGGTGAATTTGCCTGTATTTGGGTTACATCAGGTAATGTCCTTTGTGTTGGATTTTCTCTAGGTTCACTGTTTCTAGGAATATATATTGAATGTTAGGTCTTGTTATGTTCTGATTTGTATTTGTTCATCGAAAAGTGAATTATGCCTTTTATATTTATGGATATTGAAGTTTTCCCAGATGTCCATACGGTTTCTTTTATTGACTTGTTTTATGAGTTTTATGTTCTCTGGTGGGGGAAAGCTATGTTTGTTTTGTATGGCGTGTGTCGCGAGGTTTGATTTTTATGTTATTGGGTTTATGTATGCCTTTTTGTGCTCGTCGTACCTTTGGATCAGTTTTTTCTTGTTTTGGTCGATACAGAATTTGTTGCTGTCCGAGCATTGTATGCTGTACACTCCGTTTAGGTTTTTGTCTTCTTCTTTTTCATAGCTGTTTATATTATTTGTGTTATTTTCGTGTTTGACTTGAAAGTGATGTTGATGTTCAGGGGTTTGAAGATGTTTGTTAGTTTTTTGGTTTGGTGACCTACGTATGTGAATGTAGTCCATCGTTTTGTAGTTTTATCTGTTGGAGTAGTTTGATCCTTGTTCTGTATTTTTTGTTCTGTTCTATTTTCTAATTTATCTATTGTCTTTTGAGTGTATCCGAGAACGGATACCCGCAAGTTTAAACCACCCACCATCACACAAAATGACTGCATATAACGCATTCATATGCAGAATATTAAGGATGCCACTTAACAATGAAGCCCAGAACAAGAAAAGGAAAATCATATACCAAATAGCAAACGAGAACGGATACACCCAAAAGACAATAGATGAATTAGAAAATAGAATCAAACAAAAAATAAAGAACGAGGATCATAACTACTCCAACAAATAAAACAAAACAACGATGGACTCCATTTACATACGTAGGTCACCAAACTAAAAAACTAACATCTTCGAACTCCTGAACATCAACATCACCTACCAGCCAAACACGAAAATAACACTAAAAATGGACAAACAAACATTCAGTTTGAGTAGAGCCAAGAAGATGATTGCACATCCAGCTATCGAAAGAGGTGGCATATAATAAATATAAGTTATAAAGCTTCAAATCCTTTCTATGACATATGTTAATATTGAAATATACAGGGTCCTGCAACAGTGGCGCGGTGTTCCATATCTCTATATAGGAAGCAGATAGGAATCAAATTTTCTATAATATTACCTTATTGCTCGAGCTCGACAAAATAAAAATATTGGCGGTCACACAGGGTGTTCGATTTTTTCTGGGCGGATCCCAACTGTGTCTTTTTAAATGGCAACCTATATTTTTTATCGCTTTTTCGGTTTCTTCATAGAAAATAAAATAAACTTTATGTATATCTGCACTTCGAAAATATTGACGGTTTTCGAGATATCTAGCATGACAGGTTTTTTTTTC